GCGGCATGGAGTGAAACACACACAAAATTGTTAGCAAATCGTTCATGTTTGATTGGCCATGATTGCTAATAATTATAACGATGCATGCTAAGGACAAATGCGAAATAGAATGTACAAGTAGTCACAGGGTGGCAGAATCAGGGGGGTAGGGGGTACCAGGGGGGGCAACACACACAAAAATGTTAGGATGGCATTGCCCCCAATGTGCAGAGCCACACCATTAGTTTAACAAAGCATGATGGCGGTTGCAAGTCCTCGCACTTTTAATATCACCTGGAACAGCCCTTACAAAGAGTTTTTCCTCTTTCTTTGTRAAAATAGAAATAAGTGTGCAGTTTCTACAAAAGAAACAAAAAAGTCTTCAAGGGAGATTCCTTAGCGCTAATAAAAATAGGAAGGAATACAACTCCCATCATGCCTTRTTGTACAAAATGGTGTCTCTGTGCATTAGCTATGAAAGCAATATCTGCACCAGAGGAGAGGGAGGGATTTTGCAGTCRAATACAATAATATTATACTTTACAAATGCGTATAATCTCTCTGTTATTTCTAGCCAATTCAGTGCAAAGCTGCTGTAGCCTGGGAAGCCAAGAAACCACTCAGTATTGAAACAATTGAAGTTGGTGCACCCAAGGCTGGTGAAGTGCGCATAAAAATTCTCGCAACCGGAGTCTGCCACACTGATGCATACACCTTGAGTGGCATTGACCCMGAGGGGCTTTTCCCATGCATTCTGGGACACGAGGGGGGTGGTATTGTTGAGAGTGTTGGAGAAGGAGTAACCCGTGTCAAACCTGGTAAGATTTCAGCAGTAAAAATAAAATAATTTTGAATTCTAGTACGCAGTTGTGTAATTAACAAATAGATCTCATTTTTCCGTGCGTGTGTACTCTAATAGATACACAGATGACGTCAAAATGTAGTGAGAACAAAAAAGKACKCACGAGACGCAGTCGAGTGCGTGACTGTTGTTCTCACTACATTTTGACGTCATCTGTGTATCTATTASAGTACACACGCACGGAAAAATGAGATCTATCTGTTTTATACAACAAACAATTAGTTTTGACGTAATCTGTGTATCTATACTTTGATAACACACGAAAGCCAACCAATCAAAACGTCTGATTTTACTGAAAAGTTGTGTAAAATGATATATTCAATGTCATAATGTGTTATAAAGTCAAATATTTGAATAARATATTTATATTTTTTTCCCCACAAGGTGACCATGTTATCCCAACATACATACCCCAATGTAATGACTGCAAGTTCTGCAGAAGCCCAAAGACCAATCTTTGTGGTAAAATCAGGTAAAGATACTACAAGCTTTGTGTTACTGCAGGTTTTTGGGTTAGGTTGTTAGGTTGAGGTTGTACTAAAAGAGGTAAGAGAGAGAAAAGCTATTGTTTATTTCACCGGTAAACTAGCCTGCTGTCTTGAAAGACTTTTGACTCTAAATGGTGGATTGCTGTCTATAATATGAAAGCAATAAACAATATCTTGTAGTGGTTTACTGGCGAAATAAACCACTTGGGATGGTTGGAAGAACACCCAAAAAGGTAAACACTCCCCTTATGGCTTGTGATTTACTGATCTTTTCTCATGTTCTCCCAACCACTTCAATAAGCAATCGTTTATTGCTTAAATTTAATCATCATTTATGTTCATAGGAGTACCCAGGGAAAAGGAGTCATGCCAGATGGTACTTCAAGGTTCACATGTCAAGGAAAGACCTTGTATCATTTCATGGGTACCAGTACCTTCAGTGAATACACTGTAGTTGCAGAGATCTCTTGTGCTAAGGTACGTTACTGTAACCCACCCAACAAACCTTTGTCAAAATTGCAACAAAATTTTGTAACATAAAGGTCATTATCACATCATTTCTGATAAGCCATAATGATACAAAAACTGGAACTGCAAAGCATGTAACCAGCTGAAGTACAAACAAACTTTGACATTTTAACCATTGCTAAAATCCAAAATTAATCTGCCAAGTGACAAAAAATCATTCATAATCCATCTGTTCCTTAAAATACAT